CCTCACCCCTCACGCTGCTGAAACTCTGGTCCACGCCTTTATCACCTCAAGGCTGGACTATGGGAACTCTCTCCTCGCCGGCCTTCCCGGCACCTCCTTCCACAAGCTGCAGATCAGTCAGAACTCTGCAGCTCGTGTACTGTCCCGCACCAGACTTCGCGACCACATCACTCCCACCCTCGCTCGCCTCCACTGGCTCCCCATCCCCCAGAGGATCGAATTCAAGATCCTCATCCTCACCTACAAGGCCATTCATGGCCTCGCTCCCTCCTACCTCTCTGACCTACTATCCCCCTACCTACCTGCCCGTATCCTCCGTTCCTCTGGCTCCGGTCTGCTCCAAATCCCCCGCCCCAACCGCCCTACCATCGGTGGCCGGGCTTTCAGCCTCTCAGCCCCGAGGCTCTGGAACTCTATCCCCCAGTGCCTTCGCCGCCTCCTCCCTTTCCTCCTTCAAGGCCGGTCTCAAGACCTTTCTCTTTGACCGTGCCTTCAGCTCCCCTGTCGACTCTCTACCCCCTCCTCACTCCCTCCCTTCCCTCCCCTCACCCTGACCATTTCCCCCCTGCTCAGGTCCTGACCCAACTGTCCAGCGCCTTGGGACGTCATCCCGACGTGAAAGGCGCTCTATAAATGGAATCTTGTTGTTGTTGTAGAGGGGCTAGAGGGGGCAGAGTGGATCCCCTTGACTTTGGAGAAATCCATCATCTCCTCACATTTGGTGTTGGAGTAGAGGATGGCAGAGGCATGGGAGAGTGGACGGAGGAGTTGGTTTATGGTAGAAAAGAGGAGCCTGGGGTTGTCCTGAGCTTCCAAGATGATTTGGGAATAAAAGGATGACTTAGCTGAGGCCAGGATTTTTAAGGAGAGATTGGAGGGATGGTAAAGAGTGAGGTGTTCAAATGAGGGGAAGGCTCCAGAGGAGTAAGGGAGAATAGACCCAGTGAGGACCTGGAGATGAGGGCTATACCACCGCCACGACGGTTGGGTCGCGGAGCATGATGGAAGGTATAGGCCAGGTGGCGTGGCCTCAATAAGGGGGAAGATGTCGCCTTGAGTGATCCAGGTTTTAGTGAGAGCAAGGATGTCGATTTGTTCGTACACAATTGGTTTGTGGACAGTGAGGCTTTATTGGATAGGGAGTGTACATTTTGAAGGCCTATGCAGAGGGGACAGACAGCAGAGGAGTTTGCAGGATGCGGGGATTTATACCTAGATTTCCTTACAAGAAAGATTGGCAGGAAGGGTGGGAACGTGAATGAGAGAGAAAAGGTTCATTCCCAGGTGTTGGAACCGATGGGGCTTGCGGTGAAAATGGAGGATGGGACAGTCAGAGTGACTGCTGTTGGACAAGATGTACAACAACATGCTGGCTCCTCAGCCCTAGTTGTTACTGTCCAGTGCCATCTTGACCACTCACTTCTCCTCAATTGGCTACATCCTTTAAGATCAGAAGCCAATTTTATTTGCCTCATTTTATAATATTGTGCACCTCTTCAACATCATTTACAAATAGGTTCAACAAAAGTATATCCCCACAGAAGGCTCAGTAGTGCCTCCACATCACCTCCCACCCACTCCCCTTCCCGGTTTTTACCATCTATTGTTACCTTCTGCTTTCTATTGCTAAACCATTTTTCAATCCAATTAGCTAATCTGCCATTAATTCCTTAAACCTTATGCATTCTGGATGCATTCTGCTTGCCTAATTCCTAGAGGAATAGAGTATGAACATAGTCAAATGATGTTAAACATATATAAAACCTTGGCTAGACCACATTTGGAATACTGTGTGCGATTATGGTTATCATAGGAAGGGCATTATATCAATTGGAGAGAGTGTATCATAGATTTATTCGGACGTTACTATGGATGACTAGATACAGCCATCAATAATGTTTGGACAGGTTAGAGCTTCTCACTCTGGAAATGAAATAATTGAAGAGACATGTTAGAGATATTGAAAATTATGAAAGGATTCAATAAAGTGGATATTAATAGGATTTTTCTACTTGTTGGCAAATCCAAAACAAAGGCATACATGTAAGATAGGCGGTATCTGATATAAAAAGGAGTTTAGGAAGAACTTCTTTACGCAGAGGTTGATGAAAATGTGGAACTCACTGTGGTTTAAGCAGAAATGTACTTAAGAGGAAACTTGATGCATACATGAAGGAGAAGGGAATAAAGGGTTTTGAAAAAGGGGATTAGGAATGGTGGAGGCTCACGTGGAGTATAAGCAACAGATTGTGTATTTTTGCAGTTGAGCTGTGACATTCTATGTAATTTTAAATAATTGCTCAAGTATTTTTCTCAGTCCATGGTTTTCAGTTTCTGTTTGGCACTGTTTTAGAGTTTTTCCAGATACAGCTCATGTATTAATTGACCTCCTAAAATAATCCCAAGACTCTTTGCCCATTTTTTGTCTTTGGCTTCACAAAAATCTGTCCAAAAATCACACGAATATGTGATTATGGGTTTGCTATTTTTATACAAACATTTTGTCGCCACACTGTCTTTATACCTAGATTTCCTTACTTTCTTTCTTCCCTTCTCTAATTCCACCATCCATTTTGTTGGCGAAAGGTAGTTTGGAAATTATTTGCCTATGAAACAATCAGATTTATTCTGTAAAATCAAAAAAAGCAAGGGCTGCTACAGGACAAATTACTTTGCCTCAGATAATAATAATTTTTGCATTTGATATAGCGGCTTATTACGTCGTTGAGAAGTCTCAAAATGCTTCACAGAATATACTGTGAGTATGTATTTTGTGGACTATGATATCTGGTTGAGCATGAACAACAAAACTCATTCATGACATAGGAAGGGTTAAAGATAAACAAATATGCAAAATAAGTTTCTCATCTCACCAATGAAGGACATTATTTTACATGTTCCTTCAAATAGGGCAAATTCTAACAATCACCAGCTTTAAAATATATGTCACAGCATTTATTTGTTTGCTGTCTCTTCCAGTTTGTTTCTAATTTCTAATTGTATTTAACTGTGCTTTGAACTTCACTTTTTCTCCTATCTTTGAAAATCTGAAATGAAGCTCGCTAGCTCAGAAGAGGTTAATCAGCCTCAAAAAAGAAAAGCTGGGAGGGTGCTGGTGTGCAATTTTGCCTTTCACAACCTGTTAATCCAGGAGCTGCCTCTTATATATGCATTTAGTGGACTGATATTTCTGACTTCCTAATGCATTTACTTTCTCTGTCTGAAACATTTTAAAACAGGGATGAGAAAATAAACACAAAATAATGTTTCCATATATGCCAAGACAGCAAAACAAGAGAGCACAGGTTCAGTTCAGGTTTGGGCAACTGAGGATAGAAAGCAGGAAGTATTACTTTACCTTCAGAGGTAATGACTGGAACAGGTTTCCTACCGACAAAGGAGTCGAGTCAGAAAACTTGCTCATTTGATAAACAAGTTGATGGTGTGATGGGAGGATGGTAAGTGAGGTGGGTGTTTTTGAAGGATGAAATGCCTTTTTTATCTGAATCTGCTTTGCAATAGTCCTACTTGCCTGCCTTAATCCTGTATTAGTGCCAACCTCAGTTGAAGCATTCTCACCTATGAGTCAGAAGACTGTCGGTTGAATATCACATTGGGACTTTGAACTCACATCATCTTAACTGACACTCCAATATATTTTGAGAAGTATGCTGCATTTTGAGAAGTACAGTCCTTTGGATGAGGTGTTACCATTTTTCTGATAACCTGTTCTAATCATTAATTCCACTGAGGGTAAAGTAATACTTCCTGCTTTCTGTCCTCAGTTGTCCATACCCTGAACCTGTGCTCTCTTGCTTTGGTTTCTGGGCATATCTGGAAGCATTGTTCTAGGTTTATTTTCTCACTTGTGTTTAAACCTAGGTCTAATTTGCCTGTTCAAGTCGGCTTTAAAAATCACTATTCAAAAAGATAAGGGAGTTTCTCCGGGTTTCCTGGCCAACAATCCCCTAAATAAAAATGGTCATTCATGGCTGTTTGTGGGACACCCCTGTATGCAAATTGGCTGCCACATAGCAGCCACAAATTGGCTGCCACATTGATTGCCACATACACAGTCACTACACTTTACAGTGAATCCTATGAAGCACTTTGAGAAGTCTTCCAGAGGTGAAAGATGCTACATCAAATGTAAGGATTATTTTTACTTATTATTATTATAGGAGCTGCTTCAACCCAACCATTTTCAATTCAGATGGAAGAATATCTCAACATCAACCCATCTTTCTCTTTCAGATGCTAATCAAACTGTGCACACTTCTAGAATTTTCTGGGTTTATTTCATTTTATAACACAAATAGGTTCACCCACATTTAATCAGTTTTTCCTTCCCACTTTTGCTAAGCTCAGTAAAGTAATGAATGCTATCCGCAAATATGAGTCATCCTCTTCTGCAGAGCAACTCCCATTAAGTCGTACAATTCTGCCCATGTTGCTGCAGTCTCTCAAGGTTTAGGTATAATTTGCAATTGCTATTTCTAAAGCCTCCTGATTGTCTTGAGTTTATGAAAACTAACTAGTTAGAAGATTCATGGAATACACAGTTTTGTAAAATATGGCTATAGCAACCTGCAAACTTGTGCAAAAAATAGATAAAGGTAAGCAAACTAATCCTATAGCAGCAACTTTCTCGATACAGTAAACAAAGGATAATATTTAGAATCCATCTCGTTTTGCAGCATTTCTCCATTACAATATTTTGGACAACTGGACTCAATACCAATTCCATTCTGAGAACAACAGATCACTGGCCAATTGCCAAAAAAACTCTCAATGTCTTCTATACTGTATTTAGATACTGGTTTGATGAAGTTTTTTTTAAAAACAAGTAATTATATTAAGACAAATTTATTTCACAATGAAATCCACAATATAAATTCGAAACAGAAAAGGGTAGAGGTATTTCAACACATTACAATTATCTAACTGTGTGCATAATTGAGATCTTATATATAACAGATATATTGTTATTCAGTACCTACCACTACTGGTGTTACCCCAGGCATCCGAACGTCAAGGTTAAAAGAATTGTGGGAAATCACTGGATGTCTGTTTCTGGGACAATCAGAGGGATATGCCCATGCACTTTGCCGATATCTAGACAAAAACAACCCCAAAAAAATCAATCCATTTCTGCATTTTCCCCCTACAAAATCACAATTGAAAAGCATGCAGAAAAGAGGACAAGTAATCAAGAAAAAGTGATTGCAATCAAAGATTTTCCATCTGATAACAGAAGCGTGTGAGAAAACCAAAAGTTGTTAAGATGACTTGCATCATAATTCTTACTCCAAGTTCTCTTAAAATTGTAAATCTGTAAATAATTGTTGGACCACATATTTTACGTATCTTTACAATAAGCAAAAAGCATAGGGAAATAGCTCATCAGAGGTTGTCTGAAATTTTGCATGCAACCGAACACAGTAAAAATGTGATATAAACATACTAAAAACGTGAAGACACAATTTGATACATACCTCTTTAAGAGAGAGAGTGTACTTTCATGACCCATACAGTTATTCTGAAGGATCAGAAAGACTAACACCAATTTGTTAATGAGACCAGCCATGTCCACATTTGCTCTTTCTGTCCAGATCTTGGGTGAGAAGCAGTGCAGCTCTATAAGATGTAAACCTGAGAATTATTCAGCAGCATTGAATTCAGAGCTGGATTATCATCAGCACTGCAGACATAGCAATTGCCAGTCCATCAGTGAGAAAGGTGACGCACTGTAAATCAGCCAGCCGTATGAATCTCAACAGTTCTTCATTCTTGGTGTGGCCAGTTGCAAACCAGTGACAAAATAAATCTGAGTTTTCCCAGTGGGTCTGCCCCGATTTAAACACTCAGCTTCAGACCATCATTCTCCTCACAGCACAATCTCTGATTGGCAACCTGCAGTTCAGCATCAGTCTTCATTCTGAAGGAACCTGCGAAAAGAAAAACAGATAGCCTATGACTAATGCATTACAGCATTAGACCTCAGCAAATCCCCATTGAGGATCTTTATTACATTTAGGATTTTATTTTCAGAAGCTGCAGCTCAGTCCCGGTTCGTGCTTAACGTGATCTGATGGCTCTCATTCTGACCAGTCTTTTGATGCGAGTGACAACAACCACTGAATGTCACCAGAGTCCTTTCAAACAACATCCAATCTAATGGCAAAGATAACAGCTCACTATGCCTGCAGAAATTGCACAGTGATCTAGAAAGATCACTGTACAAATGGCATTTCTCAACCAATTCCTCATCAATTTGTTCAGGCTTTCACTGACATAAAACTGAGACTGGGCAAGATGTCAGAACACTTCTCATTCTGCACAATGCTGATTGCAGCACAAGTTCAATGCCTGTAACCTGCAGTGTCCAGTGCTTAAAGCAAAGCATTTACAAGAGAACTGCGCGTTTCATTCCCATTTTAGAAAACCATCATTAGTCGAGACAATAATTCTTAACTAGACAGCTGCAACACCCACGCCTCTCTCTCCCATAATTATTTTATTTAAATGCCACCTTCTCGATTTTCATAAGACCAAAACAAACTTAAAAAGCAAAGCTTATAACATCCTGTCTGACGCCAAAGGAATATTAATTCTAGACTTCAAAGTCTTGTTTCAGAATTCACTTGTTTCACAAACACCAAGGTTTTCCACATACAAATCCAGAGCTTTCAACAGCAGGGAAATGTTGGGATGGATGTTTATAATTCGCAAAAAGTGACAAAGATTGGAAACCCATTGAAAGAAATGGAGGTATAGTTTTTTTTTAAAACAGCGACTTGCATCAGAAACATTAGTGTAAAACCAAAATGAATGACACCTGGCAGATCTGGAAGTTGAACTATAATTTAAACATTTATGAGCAGTGTGTTTCTGAGACCTTCAAAACTGAAATGATTGACCATATGTAAACTGAATTAAGCACTTTGGTACTGAAGGTAAGCAATCAAAAATCAATTAGATTGCATGTTTCTAGCTCAGTTGCTAGCACTCTTGCCTTCGAGTCAGATGTTTGTGGGTTCAAGATCCACACTGGGACATTGAGCTGACACTACAATGTATTGCTAGAGGGAGCAGGGAATGATTGCTGCATTGCCAGTGATATTGTTCTTTGGATGAAATGTTAAGCAGGGGGTCCCATATGGTCTTTAAATAATAAACAGGCCTAGCGTGTTGTAATGATACTTGAAACAACCCATCATTCAGTGCTGATCAACCCGTTCTCCTTTTCCAGTAATTTAATTTCAGATTTCCGACATTCTTAGCAGTGTGTTTCTGAGACCTTCAAAACTGAAATGATTGACCATATGTAAACTGAATTAAGCACTTTGGTACTGAAGGTAAGCAATTAAAAATCAATTAGATTGCATGTTTCAGATGTTAGCCTAGCTCAGTTGCTAGCACTCTTGCCTTTATTTTTCACCAAATTCATAATGTGCAGGTTTTAAAAATCATCTTTTTACTTAAAAAAAATCTTTGATAAGAATGAGGTATAACAGCTGATAGCTGGCAGGATAGGAATCTTTCCAAGAGAAGCAGGGACGTGACCCTATGAATGGAGGAATGAAATCCAATCAGTGTGTGAAATGGACTCTTCACACAGTTAGGATGGTAGAATTTCAGATTTAGTCATCTTTAACATAAGTCCACTTATTGCGCAGACAATGTGTGCAATGCGAAGAGAACTACTTCTGGGGTTGGGGAACAAGGGTGAACCACACTCAGGGCACTTGGCTCACTGCAGTCACTTTATGCAGAGCACTTTATGTTGTCCCTTCACCTTGCCCTCTCCTCTTTTAGATCATGATTGAAGACCCTCCTCTTCGACTGTGTGTACAGTCACCTGCTCCCACTCCCCGGCTCGGCGTCAGGCTCCGACACTGTTAAGCGCTCGGAGATGCTGCCCCACATGAAGGGCGCTATATAAATGCTATTGTTGTTGTCCTCACTAGTTTTAGGCTAGGGACAGAGAGGGAGAAAATATTTGTACTAAATTTGATCACTATCACTGGTCCTGTAACTCAGTGGTTAGGGCACTCTCCTTGCAAGTGAGAGACCTGGGTTTGATTCCCGGCAGGGCGAAACCTTGGGCAAGTTTCCTTACTCCACACCCCTCTGTTTACCTAGGAGTAAATAGGAACCCATTTGATTGGCCGACCGCTTTTCTGGGGGTAATAATTCCTTCAAAAAAATTATAATAATTTGATCACTTCAATCCACGACTGTTTGTGGGACACTGCTGTGCGCAATTGGCCACAGCGTTTCGTCCACAAATATACAGTCATTTCATTTTACAATATATTCTGTGAAGCGCTTTGAGAAGTCTAGAAGACATAAAAAGAGCTATATCAAATGCAAAGATTATTATTATTTATCCAACAATACTGGGCACTGATACCATTTGTACTGCTGACCGTTCACTAAACTTTGCTCTTTTGTCTGAAAATTAATTTAAAACATCATTCATTAAGCAATAAAGTGAATGTCCTGGAAAATCTCAAAGAATTAAATATCTACAAGGCAAGTGAGCCAGATGGCATCTGCCCTTGAATTCTTAAGGGAATGAAAGAGGAAATGATAAGAAGCCTGTTTTTTTTTTAGCAGCACCATACCACTGGAGCTGTACTTGAGGAATGGAACAGAGCAAATATTACCCCACACAATTTTAACAAAAAGGAGAGAGAGACATGAACCTGGAAGGTATAGACCTATTAGTCCACTTTCCTACATTCTCTAATGGTCTCCTTCCCAGCTCAAACCAATATAAACTGCAGATCATCCAAACCTCTGCAATCTATATCCTTTTCTTTACCAAGCTCCATGAAACCATCATCACCATTCTCACCAGGCTCCACCGACTCCTTATTCCTCAGACCATTCACTGGAGGCAGGAAGTCCTCCCATTCAGCTCCTGTTAACCCCGGGAAGAGAGCTGCACATTCCATTCCAATAAATATCTCTGGAAGTTCCATGTGTAGATGGGATACTCTGAAGCATGGTGAAGGGTTTCCGCATGTGTTAGATGGGCTGACCCTCAAAAAATCCTCAGCAAAAAAAATTCAGGAGAACCATTCCCACCAGAAAACATAAACCATTATTACAGATAATACATTGAACTGTGTGGGCTATTATTATTATTCATAACAACTCACAATCCTTGTATTTGATATAGCTGCTTATCACGTCATTAACATGTCTCAAAGCGCTTCACAGGATATAGTGTGAAAAGGCTTGACTATGTATTTTGTGGGTTAGTATTAATCTTTCCCTACAAACTCTTCCCACTGGGGTACAGTTCTATTTTGCAATGTTCAAATACAGTGAGTATAGTTTATTAATAATCTTAAATTTAACCTTAAGCCGTATTAATCTCAAGTAACCACATTGCTGTCACCCTGCATATCTCGCACTATACATGCAAACTTTCTTCCCTTTTTTTTTACAAACTCTCCCATGACCTATCACTTTTTTTATATAAATAAAACAGAAAAGTCACAAAGCTGAAGTCTCCTACAATGAAGGAGCATTAATTTTTCAATAAGGGACAACATACTTGTGAAATTAAATGATTGGGCACGGTGATACACAAAGGGCTGAAAACAACAACAACAACTTGGATTTATATAGCGCCCTCCACGCCGAAAACAATAAACCAGTTACACAGAATTTTGAGAAGTGAAGCAGGACGGAACCCCACATCATTGCACAGACGACCTAATCCACTCACTACATTACATACTAATCACTGATATTATGGCGTTCAACCAAATACGTGTATCGCAACATGTATCGACCGGTTGCATTGAATCGCGGGAAGTGGCATAAGTCGTATCAGTCGTGGGCTGATAATGACTTGCACAAAGTCCGAGTTGTAGGCAAACTGTATACATCGTACAAAATCCAATTAAATCAATATTCTACAGTGCGCATGAGTAAATTCAGTGTAGCCAGTAAACGCCACGTGATAGTTTGTCACTTTAGTCGTTAAAGTGCCATGCAATGATGGGTCAAGACTTTGTTGCCCGCGATTCAATGCAACTGGCCAATAAGCGTGCGTGCGTCGACTGGTCAGGCATCATTTCACATGATTCAATGCAGCCGGTAAGTGTAGGAGTAATGGACGATAGGGGAGTGGCGTTATGAGTTAAGAGGTCATTAATACGGCTAGTACAAATAAATCTGAATGGATTTGATAGCAAACTATTGCCCGACTCTGCCACCGCTTCACCACTCAGGCCGCCGAAACCCTCATAGATGTATTCATTACAACCAGGCTCGACTACACTAACGCCCATGCCTCAGAGGATTGAGTTCACAATTCTCATTCTCACCTTCAAAGCCCTCCATGGGCTCAGCCCTTCTACCTCTCTGGCCTGCTAACCCTTAATCAACCTATCCGCTCCCTCCGCTCAGCAGCCTCCGGCCTGCTCCATGTCCCCCGCCCGGCCTGCCTCACCATTAGTGGTCGGGCCTTCAGCCTCTCTGCCCCCACCTTCTGGAATTCCATCCCACATTTCCTCCACCTCGCTCCCTCACGTGCCTCCTTCAAGGCACGCCTCAAGAACCTCCTCTTCAACTGTGCCTTCAAACATTCCCCTACCCTTCCAGCCCTCCACCCTCCCTGATCCCAAACCACCCCCTTGCATGGTCATGTATGAGGGAGTGTCATGGGCATATTTGTTTGGAGATCTCCTATAGTTGATGAGCTATATTAAAAAATGCTTTAATTAAGCCCCAAAGTATGAGGTATGCATGGCATTCTGCAACAACGTAGCGACAGAGGAGATCACACACCCTTCTAGAGAGATACATCTATACTAATAAAGACAAAATGTCTGTCTGTGTGTCTGCCAATAACGCAATAACCGATTGACGTAGAGACATGATTTATACCTCATCGGAAAGGTCTTGCATGAGGGAGTGTCATGGA